AGCGCTATGTCAGTGTTTTTTTAAAAACAGAGACATCCTCATTCAAATGCGGTCATCATAGCATTGAAAAAAACAGCAGCACGTGTAAAGCCACCACGTCCTAACCCCCCCCCCCACCCCCCCCCCGTCGTTTTGTGGCAAGAAAGGGAAGGAAAAAAAGTCCTCTGGCTGGATGCAAAGTTGTAAATTCTTTCCAGCCCAACTTTGCAACCAAACCCCAGGATCCAGCCGCTAACTTTCCTGGATAAAAGCTGCCAAGGAAATAACGTTTCTTTGCTCAGCCCCTCCACCAGGGATGTTTGGAACAGAAGGTGGGGGCGGGAATTTGCTGCCTACATTTCTAAATTGCACCGTGGCAGAAGAGCCTCGCAGTCAAACTTTATGCGCGTTGTATTTTTGTAAAGCACTTGATCTTTGCTTGGGAAACTCTATTAATTGAATGGGTTTGCCTTTTTGCCAGGTCCCTTTATCATTATTTATGGGCTTTAAATTGTTTAAAGTCCCCTTGACGTTCAATTTACAAGTTGGGGGAGGGGTGGGTTTTTTTTTTTCTGTTCTGCCTTTTGTCCTCGAGAAAGACTTCGCGCTGGAAGCGCTTTGAATCGCCAAACATGAGAGGTTTGCCGGTGAAAAGGGAGCAGGGTAGATCGCTTTTAATTCCACCGTGTTAGTTGAATGGCTCTTTTACATAATTGCAGGCGCTGTTTCAAAGCCAAGCCAGAGGCTGACTTCACTTAGAACCGCATGGAGTCTATTTTGGGCTTTCAGATTTAAAAAAAAAAGGGGGGGGGAGGAAGCATGAATAAAATCGTTTTAAAAAAAAAAGACCAGGCTTCAGTGCTTTGCCACTTGCAAATTGGTGTGTCTGATGGGGGAATGTTACACAAGAACTCCTTTGTGCGCCCATCTCGGACACTTGAGGGAATCTCCGAGGTTAGCTGCAGCCCGTCGCGTTCCCAGGTGGTGAGAATGCGCGTTCCCTGGCGCTGGAAAGGAACTTTGCGCATCCAAACATTCCCCGGGCAAACGGCTGTGCCATAGACGCGCAGTGCCACGCGGCGAGCAAAAGAGCGTCTAAAGCTTGGTATTCACCTGCCTGCCAAGTGCCGGGGTTCACTGGGTTATCTCCTCTCGCCTCCCTGTCACTGGAGCAAACGACGCCTCCTCCACCGAAAACTACAGGAAAACACATTAAAAGTTCCCTCGCCCTGCTTGAGCGGAGCCATACACCGAGCATGACACGCTGCCAACACCTGACATTTGCCTGCCCACTTTAAAAAATATGCGCACGCTGAAATCTAAACAGCATCTAGCCGTGCCGTGAGGACTTCGTTGCCCGGCTGCTTATGAATGTTGGCGAATCGTGGACTCTCCCCGGCCTAAAATTAGTGTCGGGAGTGTTTTCATTACCTAGAGGGCTGGAAACTTGCTTTGCCAACCGAGCTAAACGCGCGCCTAACTGGGGGAAGCGACGGTGGCTTTCCTAGAATGATTTTTGCTCTTCCTTCGCTGACCGAAGTTGCAAAGAAATATATGCAAATTGGCTTGCAGGCAGTGCCCGAGATGAATAGCTGCGGCCTTCTGCTAATGATGATAGATAGATAGATAGATAGATGGATAGATAAGATTTTAAAAACAACAAATAGTTTTGCAGCACCTCAGAGACTGCTTGAAATGTAGACGATCTCATGAGCTTTCCTGGACACAATCCGCTTCTTCAGATGAATGGAGTTATGAAAGATCCAGTTTTCAAATAAATAGCACAAAGGGGGAGATGGGGGAAAAGCGGAGAAAAAATAAGAAGAAAAGAGGAAAGAAATTGTCAAGTAGAATGTCCATGCTAACAAGCAGAGATAGATAGATAGATAGATAGATAGATAGATAGATAGATAGATAGATAGATAGATAGATAGATAGATAGATAGATAGATAGATAGATAGATAGGGTGTGTGGGGATAGATATAGATGGGATGTATAGGGATAAATAGATATTATTAATCTATACAAGGAGCAGTCTAAAACTGTAAAGGATTTTATTATCTGCAGTCCTCAAGCCTTCAACGCATTGCAGATAGTTTGAGATGTCTGGAATCGATCGTGTTAATCGCTACCAAACTCCAGGATACTTTGCTGGCGCGCACAGCTTCTTCTTCATTTTTTTTCCCTGAGCAGTTCAACATTCAATGAGAAAATTGCGCTTTAGGAAGAGCACCCCGGTAAATAAATTCCCCCCCTGACGCGACCGTGCCAGAGTCCCTGCTGCAACCAGCCCTCGGCAGTGGCTAGATTCAACAGCCCCGGGGAGATGCAAATCATATGCCAGCAAATTACTCCTCCTGTGGAGGTACTTCTGGAGCTGTAACACCGCCGGGTGGGCGCCCCGTAAAACATGACAATGTCCCCGAGACATCGCAAGGGCCCCCGGGACACTGGACCGTAGCACAAGGAATGTTGTGTCTGGATTGATGGATTGGAAAATATCTGCTCGCCTGGCGGTGTCAGAAGCAACTGATGGCGAGCACCACGGGAGGAGAACCCAGGCAACTTGAGAGATGAAGGGGCTGCTGCCCTCGTTCGTAGCCGAGGTTAGCCAGCGTCCTGCGGCCATCAGCGTTCGCATGTGGATTGTGACCCAGGTGACAGCAGTCGATTCGGAAGTAGTTTTTCATGGGAAATGTACGTCTTGACGGCTGCCCAGAGCGTCATGCCCCCTGTTTCGGCACCTGCGACGAACTGAGGCAAATTTACATTGTGGATCCCCCCGGCATACTTACCAGATGTTTTTAAAATGTGCC